TTTCCATGCTGAATTTATTACCTAGGTACCATCATAAGATTGGTCTGTCACTAAACACCTGTATAAGCTAAGTTGTCTTTAAGTAGGTATTAATAATACATATTATAAACATATATTTTGAATCATAAAACGAAAACTTAAATACTTAAATAATTTATTTTATTTATATTAATAACTAGACATACCTATTGGCTGTTAGTGACTTTATAAAGACAATACCAATTTGCTTTTGGAAACTTGTATTACTGTCCTGAATAAGAGCCTTAGCACTTCAGTACATAAAAATGTGTTGATTTGAAAAGATTTAATTACAAATGGAAAAATTATTTAAACGGCCCGAATTGGTCAATTTGTCGACATTGTTAGTTTTGATGATAATTGATAAATATATGTTTTATAATTTATATTATTATGAATAATTTTTGTTATTAATACTAAATAACTAATATTTGCCAAGCAGTTTTATAATATTTGTATTGATTTATGTAATGTGTGGTCTACAAATATAAATGTAAATTCAATCTAATAACTAAATAGGTACCTACTTAAGGTGTTAGAAATGTGAAAATGTGGCACGGAAATCGTAAAAATGTTAAGCTATAGTCTATTCTACGAGCGAACAGTATACCGATGATAGACCAATGTTAACATAGAAAGAAAGGGAATTGGTTCTTTACGAGTTGAAAATGTTCAAACTAGAGAGGCTTCATTGTTTAGAACGCTCAGAGAGGAAATTAAGGCCTGACATCACCATAGCTTTCAATATTTTAACCCACAAAAACCTATTATTCTCTCGTGAAATAGATTGTAGTAGTATAACAAAATATTATTTTTATTGTTATTGTAAAATATGAAATTTATTTTATTTTTAATTCTCAAAAATTAGGTTTTTTAAAGTTAGGTAGGTTACCTAAAATTGTTAGTTATTGTAATTTAGTTATCAGTTTTAGTTTCTTCCTCAAGGGATAATGTGAGAAATAACATGAATTTAAATTTATTATGATTAAAAAATATTGAAAAAATTAACCTAACAATACGAAGTGGTGTAGATAGGTACCTAAAATTCCTTTTCATAAGACAGTGCGTGTTTTGGACACATACTTGTTGCGGTCGAAATTATTTAGGTAAATATTGTAACATAACAATTGCAGACACGAGTTTCGTTATCATAATACTAGTTGCGTACAAAGTTTTTTTTWAAATAAAAATCGTTAGTTAAAGTTGCGGACACTGTATATTTCCCTTTACCAATTTTTCAGAACTTAGGAAAGCTACCAACAAATTGGTAGATTGGGTTAAATATATTTGTTTATTTTATATGTTATTTTAAAAATTGTTAAATACATTTTTTATAAAATATTTATTGATTATTGTTATTATTTATTCAATGTGGTAGGTTTTATAGGTTTTAAACTGATTACACATATTTTTTAACAGGTGTCTCAAAAGCACCGGCACAATCTTAATGCTGATAAATAATCAGTCCAATAATGTCATTCGTCATTTATTGGTACATAGGATTATAACTGTTATCTTCTGTTCATATTGAATAGTAATTTCCCAACGTTTGGGAATTTGTCCGCAATTAATATGTTACATTTGTGTCCGCAATTCATATGTTACCTACCATTTTAGATTTCGTCCGCAACTCACGTGGTTTTTGTAACTTTGTCCGCAACTAGGAAAAACCACGTGTTTGGACAAAAAATTGAAAGATAAGCTGTTATCCAGAGCCCCAGAGGATAGTATAACATTATTACCACGCACATAAGACATAACATAAGATAATGTTATTAATTAAATAAATAATACTTTAGCCACAACAGAAAAATATGTTGTTTAAACAAAAAGTTGTTCACTTGGAAGTTATTACTTATTACTCTAATGAATTATAATAAGTATGACTGTTATAATACTACCTTTTAAGAGTATTTCCGTTTTTGAAGAGAAGGATAAGACGTTGCAATTGCAAACATCTTACCAGATTATAAACACGTGGTATGAAATTATAGAGTGCAATCCTCACAGTATATCCAAGGGATTCGGTGATCTAATCAGCTTATTGAATATATAATTATATATTGTATACCTATTATATATTGTTATGTGCCTATAACCCTCTATGAATATAATATTGTATTATTGAAATGAATTGAAAAATAATGTGAAACTGGATATTAGGGGGTTAACAAAGGGATGACAGCAAATTGATAAAATATGTTTTTCGTAAATTAAAATACATTTTATTCTTCATAAATTGACTTTGTTTTAATGGTATTCTGTTTGAAACAACATCKTAGTACGTAATRTAGTATAATGTACTGTGGTCTGTAACYTTATATAAGTTTTAATTACCATTGATACTAAATACTTAGTGAGGTGTAGTGGCCGGGCGGATTAAGGCGTCGGTTGCGACGCGCACCGTCGCTGATTCGAACCAGGACAAGGGCAGCATCGCTTTCCGGTCAGTTCACGCTGTCTGGAAAGAGAGGCCGCCGCCCCCCTCCCTGGCATGGCAGAAACCTACAGCCMACTAGAAATTCTGCCAAATAGGCGTCCAAGCCTCTGAACTAGGCCTTCGTGCCTACTCCCGGACATAGCGCCATACGAAAAAAAAATACTTAGCACTAGTATTGTAACTAGGATTTTAAATTGGATAATATGATTGCAATTATTTTAATTTACATTTATAATTAAAATTTCAATTTGTTGGATTTATGTCTTAGCAATTTTACAGTCCGCGTTAAAGTTTGACGGACATTTAGTGGTAAACACATCATTCGAGACCAACATAGAATACGTGTATGCTGCAGGAACTATGGCAAGGTTCATGCATAATGATTCTGTTATCATATCAAATCATATGTATTATAATAGATTAGAGATTGGTATTCGATTAGCCAACGTGCTGATGAAACGCTTAGGAATTATTGAAGATGACAAATCGAACGACCCTTACGTTCAGCCAGTTTTTGTTTATTGTCAATTACCCGGTAAATACAATTATATGCATACCGAAGTGCCCGTTTGGCGATCGTTGAAGACTTATACCAGATCACTCAGTACTGGGAATATTACAGATGGATATTTTGAAATTGTTGTCAACAATTATGGTGACATAATGGCATTGTCATGTTATTCGAAAAAGGTAAGCTCATATCAAAATACTTGTCATTCTTTAAGAACTAGTAGGTTRAAGTTTACATTTGTATAATAACTATGTAATTTATTTATTTATTTTGGCCATTCTGTAGAATTTCAAGTATTTAAATTTAATGAATCTATGCGGGAAACACGTGAATAATTTCAATGATATGATGGACCGCTTTAAAACGAATTCCATTCCGTGTTTTTTTGATTATTTCAACCAACCTTGGTCATACATTTTATACTCGGTCAGGTTTTGGAAGCTATTAGACGAAATAAAATTAAAACGAGAAAATAAGGTACGAAAATATAATATGAATTTATATTGATAGTAAAATTTGATAATTTGTATAGCGTTACATAGAGTTCGTAGGCCATGGAGGCATTGCTAAGTTGATGACCAAGCTGAATGTCAAAACGGTATATTTTAAATACATATCACCTGTACATTACTTAATAATAATAATTATSATATTATGTTATCATATCTGTATAACGTGATTTTTACATAGATTTCACAGTTGTCGAGATGTCCTTATTACGACAGTATTTTTGATAAGATATACGGGAAAAAGTTAAACACAATTTTGATGAACTTTGTCGTCAATAACGTGGATGATTTTCCAATGTTTTTTCATACTACTCATCGGAGGAATACGACGGATGAATATAACATGGTATAAAATCGAAATACTCGATAAATGTATTTTAATACATTAATAGTTTTATACGAAATGTATCAATTTGTAATCAACTATAATACATATCAATGTAGATTAAATTTGTTATTTTTTTTTCTAACGAATAAAATTATTATGATTTGTTATAATATCTAGTGTTAGTAATATTTATCTGAGCGCAGTATAGCGGAAGTCAGTGCGCCAGACCAAGTTCAATCAGCATGCTGTGTATCTATATTTGAACCAATTCACGTGGTTTTCTGATTATCATATCTATRCTTCCTGAATCCTAAATTTCTATTTTGAAATTTTATACATTGATTAAGTCGAAATATTGATCTGTTTCGACACAAGAGACTTCTATATTACTGAATCACAGACTCGTCATCAAAATTATAAGGCACCTCATCTACAGATATAAATATAAMAATTGGTATTAAAATTAGGTATATATTTTAAGTAAAAGTAAAAATATAGAAAAAATTTTATTTTCTTAAAAATTAGTTCCACTCTGAGAAGGKGAGTTCTAAATAYATAACAAAATAATTAGGGCTCGGAAGTTGTAGGAGCTAAAAAAGGTAAAATATGCAAAAATATTATTCTGAATTCCAAAAATTAAATACATAAGATATTGTTTACAATTTAATCATATACATAAAAATTATTTATAACTAAAAAAAAATAAAACTATTTGGGATTTTGACATCTTATTGAGCTGAAAATAAAATTAACAATATTTTTTCAGTATTTTTTAAAATTACGAAATAAATACATGCTTTCTTATACCTGTTAAGTTATTGCATTGAACCACCAATATTTTCTTAAAATTTTCTATTTCAAATGAACGACAATAATTCGATAGAAGATTTTTATATCAAGAAAACGATCTTTCAACGTCAGTTTAAGTCATCGGAGCATATTTATAAAATTTTAAGTTATCGCCTGTCAACTCTTCCGGAAGTCCGTACTATCTCCCGTTAGTATCATAGAAATCTTCATCATATTCTCGAAACCACGGTTTTTTTCCAATACATATCTTAACTTCTTCTGAATGGCAACTCCTACTTCACTATATATACCTCTTCTATTTTTTTTTTTTAGTTTGTGTAATTTCTTTTATTCTTTTACAGATAACTWGACCCCTTGAGTTTTAAGTTGCTTAATTTTTGTCGGTAAAAACCTGTAGTTTGAATCTATAAAAATTAAATTAGGTTCCATTGAA